AAAGTAGTCGGCTTTTGTTATTATTAATGACAATTGATTATATTTTTCTAACAACAATAAAAGAAGTTCTTTAAGTAGACGCAGACGTTCGTCAATTTTGTTGGTGTTTAAGATTCCTCTAAGACAGGCTGTTGTGAATTACAATTTTGACGTTTTATAAAACCCGTAAAAAGTGCAGTATCATTTCTCTATACATATATAGTGGCTTTTTAAGTATTTCTTTGAGGCTGTCTACAGATAAAAACGGTTTTTAAAGCACCTTAAATCTATATATGGGAAGAGATAAAAAAACATTTTGTCAGACAATCGTATTCCAATATCAAAAGTAACTCTTTATATATCGAGTCACCTAACAGCAATCACTCTATAACGCTGTCGGGTACATATTTTTGCGTATGCAAAATTAATGATGTAATATATGTATATATATATATCAGGCATTGTTGATAATATTTTACTATGAGAAGATTCGCCGATGAGCTGGCGTCATCAGAAAAAGGATTTTATTCGCAAGAACAAAATATATATTAGAAAATGTCAAAGTAAAGATTTTTCGGCATTGGCTTTTATATTTACTATTTACCATTTCATTGAATTCTGATCCAACTTTACACACACACACACTCAACCAAACACACACATAACCAAACACACACACACACACACACACACACACACACACACAACACACACACACACATATATGCACAGGGTGCGATAGATAAATTGTCGTCTAAATTACGCAAAAATCAAAACAACACATATTTCATTTACCAAAACTATACAAAAATATCTTGAAATATTAAAGAGTAAATTTATTTATTAATATCTCCATTGTCTTCAGCCACAGCCTCCAAACGACTGTGGAATCTTCCACATCTCTTCTGGATGGTCCCTTGTTAAGTTGGTAAATGCTGTCATAATCATTGCCTTCAGTTCATTTCTTGTGTTAGAAGGAGTTTTGTTGGTTATTGCCTCATCTAGGCCCGATACCTAATAATGAAGGTTGTTGCAATCTGGGAAGTTAGAGGGCCAGATGTAAGGGTTGATGTCGTCGCAGAAATTGTCAGACAGCTATGATTAGGTTCTCCTGCTTCTGTGGCATTGTGCAGAGTTCTGTTGTCAGATATAGAATCTTCTAGCAGCCACCCTCTTGACCCAGGACAGCACTACTTCCTCAAGTCACTTGAAGTAGGCCTACGTGTTGACTCTGAGACTCTGTGGGAAGATGAATGGCGGCATAACATCGCCATCACTAGTGATCATTCCAAAGACCTTCGTAATCACCATTAGACTCGTCGTACTCTTTCCGAATCCTTTGCACTCTTCTCAGATTGACACCCAAACATTATGAAATATTCGTATTTGAGGTTCCGGTGCCAAGCAGAACAGCATGCTGTTTTAAAATTTCTGACGGAGCGAATTGTTTCATGGTGCTTTTTTTTTTCTCACAGATGGTGCCCAACTGACCCTACTTTACTGTGCAGTCGACAAAATCAAAACAAACAACGGGCATGCTTGAAATTAAAAATATAAAATGGCGTCAATTTACTCATTGTACCCTGTATGCTTCTATCGACATAGGTTGTAAATTATTAAAGTGGCACAAGGTCGACAATATCGGAGTGTTATCTACGTATGTTTGACGAAATTTTCTTATACTTTCTTTTAATATTGAAGCGCGCGCGCATACACACACATTTCTTTCGTTCTGATATGCGAAAGTCTATCTAACGATGACAAAAGTCGTAATCATGTCAGTAAAAGAGCTTTCCAATTTATCAAACTTTGTCTGGATTCTGTATCCGATATACATATTGTCGACCTGAAATGTAAATATTTTATTTTAAACTTAATCTGATAAAACAGGACAATCTGAGAGACTGGGAGAACAAATTTTGACAAAACAAGTAAGTTGGAAAGAAGAGAAAACCACATAATTAAAAATAACAGCTTTTATACAAAAGTCACACAATTTCGTTCTTTCATCCCGACCGAGGGACGCTGACTTAACCGTGAAGAGTATTAACGATTTAAGATTGAGGCACACACACAAACATAAAAAAGGCGATTACGATAAAGAAACGCATAATCAAAATAAATAAAACAGTATCTCATATATATATATATATATAGAAATATATATACACACACACGCACGTAATGGAATGCAGTGGATTTAACTGGAATTCGAAGTCGGCTCTCCGATTCCTCAGTCTGATCCGCTATCTATTACTCCACCGTGCCACCTATATATATCAGCAGCGACCCAAGGTCAGTCAGTGTTTTGTGGGCTCAGACCCACCCAGAAACCATCCTCCTTGTAAAAATGATGTCAATAGATTTTAGTTTACTAAATATTACTCGCAGTACCCTCCCGCTCCATTGACTCTCCAACTCAAAAGACCCTGACGACGGGCATGTTACAATTTACTATATGCATAATTTAAGAAGAATTTTTGCATTAAACTAAAATTTGTCCTAAACATAAGTATTTTCAATTTTTTTAAGTCTGATACATGACTAAAAAAAAATTGAAGAAAAAAATATATGCAACATGTATAAGACTTAATTTTAGGGTCATTTCTTCCTTCTACTTGTCAAATCCGGATTACCAGATAAATGTCTTCAAGAATTAAATTATGCAAAAGGAATTATTCCACATAAACACACGGTAGTGTAATTCTAAGTCGACATTTTTAGCCGATATTTTTTAATGCGTTTGTGTATATGTCAAGGGTTAGTGTATGTGTGTCTTTCCCTCTCACTTTAAATCATCTTTGTTTATCGTTATGTATAGACTGCGTCGAACATTTTGTTGCATTCATTTCCAATTCCTTGTCTACTGAATTGTGACAACACATACACGCATATGAAATATGCTTATATATATATATATATATATATATATATATATATATATATATATATATATGCATTTATCAAAGCCATATAAACAACACACACATTATATATATATATATATATATATATATATATATATAATATATATATATATCAGTAAATCTAAAGAGCCAGACAAACCTATCTAGCTTTCACCTACGCGGATCGTCAGGGTGAACTGGCTAAAGAGGTGCTATAAGAACAGAGAATATATAGTCTACAACACAAAAACATGACCATGTGACCCAAAACATAAAAAAAAATTTAAAAAAATAAAAAACAACTGTAACACGACAACTAGGCGGGGTGTAAACATATTTATTCAAAAACATTAAAAAAAAATGAAAATCTTAATAAAAGCAATCGAAAAAAATTTTTTTCCAATTTCTTTTTGAATTTGTGTGTCTGATGAATTGAATCGTGATTACGGTTCCAATGTAATAAATTATAACCATGGAATATTACTGTTTGAGCCATTTTATTATATTCTTAATCTGTCCCGGATATTGAGTCCTACCTGGATCCTATCCTCTTGGGAATTTACACACACACACACACACACACACACACACACATATATATATATATATATATATATATATATATATATATATATATATATATATATATATATATATGTATGTATGTATGTATGTATATGCATATATACACGGATAAAAAATCCATTCCTTGCATCTATATATACATCTGTATACAAGATTGGTCATTGATTTTCATCTGAAGTTTTCTGTTAGGGTCTGAGCTATAGGCAAAGAGTTTACCTCCAAAAACGTTATGAAAGTATAAAAATTAATATTTATAGTAAAAATACCAGCAATGCATTTTTGAAATAAAAAATACCTGCAATACATTTGACCCTCGACATAAACCCTCTTTACAAAAATACGTCAATGAAACCAGATTTCTTTAAGAGAATACACATTGTATTCATGCAAAGTTGTCCTAAAAATCTTGTCGTTATTAAATAACCCATTGAGATTGATATGCCGTAAAACAAAATAAACCCAAGCTTTGAAGTTTTCTCTCTATAATGTTCTACCGAGGGAAAAAAATCTTTGGTTTATGTGCATTTTTGCCATCAAACTACGGACTTATTTACAAAACAACTTATGTCTGTATGTCTGTATTTTGTGTTGGTGCCTAAGTGCGTATATACGAATGCATACTTTGCATGCCTACACTATGTCGTGTTGTATTGGGGATGGTTGATGGCGGACAATGCAAACAGAATGGCGAAGGAACGCAAAGCCGAAAACGACAAAGAACAGATAGACAGGCATTAAGAAGGAGGTTGGCGAATTCTTCGGTTTCTTTGACGCGCACGCATTGTTTCCGGCACGAAAACATTGGTAAATGACAATGATTTTCATTATGATGATGATCGAAATGACACTATTCAGTGAAACAAAGCGTTGCAAAGTTAGGAAGAAAATTTGTTGCCAAACTTTGGAGAGTTGACTCAAGTGAAACTATCACGCATTTTATAGCGAAAAACTTTTTCTTTATCATAATCTCATTCTAACACCATCAGTTTACGAACATGGCTCATTTGACAAAAACTGATAATTCATTTTCTTTTTAATCACGTCCCTTCAAGATTCACAGATTCTTTTTCGGTATTACCTGTGAATTATCCTCATTTCTTGAAGTGTTTTCCTGTTGTCTCCTTTACAGTTTTAAATTCATAGTAGTTCTTTTAGTCTACCTGCTTTCAAGACTAGACACGCCAGTCTACCTTTCTATTTAATCGAAGAGTAAAGCGGTTAATTCTTCCCTTTCCCATGCGCATTATTCACTTACGCGCAAGTACCCTTTGGGAACGGTATGAATTCACCGCTTTCCCCCAGCTATGGATTAATTAGTAAGACCTGTAGCACTAAATCATTATTATCTCAAAAAAAAAATTTTATAGTCTAAAAATATTCTCTGGCTTTAAATAACCTACAAAGGGTTGATAAGCAGTAGAAAACAATGTTTGTAATATTTCTGGAAAAATTTTCCAAATATTCAAGGTTGATATCTGGAAATCTCCAACAAGACATAACGCAGGGACAGCTCGAAGTGCAAATTACAAATCGGAGATACAAAAATCAAAGAAGTACAAAAATTTAAATATCTGGGAAGATAAGATAAAGGATGGAAAATATAAAACTGGAATCCGAAGACGCATTTGGGAGTTCTTTAAAACATATGTACATATGTTTCTGGAACCTGATTGGATAGGACAAGTCATGTGATATCCCTGATGGAAAGCGAGAAGATAGGATAAAACATCAACTGCAAGAAGACAGAATACAAAGGTTGTTAGCAAAATGATTAATCCAAAATGTACCATCCAAAAGCTAAGGATAGTATTAAGAAACAGAAAACCATAGTTAGGAACAAGGAAAAGGGTACTGAACACTTACACGATACCTCCCTTCCTATATGACAGTGAATGCTGGACAATCACCTCAAAGATGAAAAAAAGATTTGAGCAACAGAAAAGTGCTACTAGAGAAGAATGCTTAGGATACCATGGACTTAACATGTGAGCAATGACGAAGATTTAGAGAAAATGAAAACCAAAAGGAAACATCTAGTGAACATCAGGAAGAAACAGTTAAAATTTCTAGGATGCATAATAAGAAAAGAAGGCTTGGAAAATCTGATACTCATAAGACAGATTGAAGGCAAGAAGGGCAGATGAAAACAGCAGCGCATGACATACTTAGTGATCTTGAGTAAATGAATGTCGGAAAAAGGTTTCGGAGAAATAACAAAAAGACAAAATTTATTAAGAGCTACGAAGGAGAGGAAATTGTGGAGAGCCATGATCGGACACGGCGCATAAAGAAGAATATCTTCAGGGACTTTTACATAAAGCGATAAAAAAGACGTATATATATATATACACACACGCTCTATCTCTGATATTGAGCACTTTATTCCATAAATATAGCACATCTTAAGACTATATTTCTTAATGTATGTATGTATGTATGTGTGTGTGTGTGTGTGTGTGCGTCTGTATGTGTGTGTCTGCATGTGAGTGCATTTCTATAGGTGTAAATTAAAAGATATTAATTCATTAGTCGGAGTGTAATCATGAAATATATAGCAAAACTCCATTCAAACAAAAACAACACTTGTACGTACCATCAGAAAGAGACAGTTGAAATTTCTAGGACATAATGAGGAAAGAAGGCTTAGAAAATTTGACACTCACAGGATATATTGAAGGCAAAATGGATAGAGGAAAACAATGTATAACCTATGTAGAGGGCATGCGCAAATGTTTGACATGACAGGGTTTACGAGAGACAGCAAAAATTCAAACTAAGAGCAATAAAGGACAGGTAACCGCAGAGAGCCATGATCACCTACGTCCGGAAGAGACACGTCATATAGAAGAATAATAATATGCTATTTTATAACTGAAAGGAACTGATATTAACGGATTAATATTGTAAGATTTTTCTGCATTGGCATGTATCTTTATATAAGCAAATGTTTGGGAGAAATGAGATGAATAAGAAGTTTAGGAAACTCAAGAGTATCTCTATCATTTTATCTCTATCAATAAAAGCTACAGAAAATACTTATTCTTTCGTTTTTCTTTTTGCTTCTTTGGTTTTCTTTCGAGCGTTTTTAAGAGTAGAAGGTGAAGCAGGGGTTGTTTGGCTTGGTCGGGACGGGTCGGTTTACGCGTTACTTGTCAAAACTTTAGTTTATTTTGTAGTGGAGTTGACTTTGCAAGTATAAATGACAAGAGTTGATTGGTTGGATCGTTGGTTGGTCACGTTACCACTGATTGCAGGCAATCGGCCTTCACTTTCGCATCAGTTTTTTTTTTTAACAATAATTCGCTTTGACGTGAAGCTCGTGTATCGAGACTGTACCTCCCGATTACACCAAGAAAAAAAAAAGAAATCTTGGACCAATCCTATATATATATATATATATATATATATATATATATATATGTCCAACAATTATTTTAATATATTTATAGGTTATTTTATATTTGTATCTATACGAATAATGTATTATATATATATATATATATATATATATATATAAAATAGCTGGCCACTCGTAGTCGAGGATAAGCGTCTAGTAGGGCGGCTATCCAATCCCTATTGCATACATTTGTGCTCGTTCAACCCCCACTGTGTTTTATATTGCGTGTTATCTAGAATGATCAACAATTTGAACAACACCACTGAAAGCCTTGGTCACGATGACTTGGTCACTGTGCTAGCACAGCTATCAACGGTCCCCCAAGTGTTCCGTCAACCCAATTTGGGTATGTTTTTCCCATCAAGACCGATAACATCAGGACCGTGGTGAGATTCGGGTGTCATGGTTAGAAAGCGGACGTTCTAATCATTTATATATATATATATATATATATATATATATATATATATATATATATATATATATATATATATATATATATATATATATATGTGTGTGTGTGTATATATATATATATATAGTTGGTTTGGCCACTGTATTTGAGGATAACTGTCTATATATATATATATATATATATATATATATATATATATATATATATATATGTATATA